CACACATTTCTCGAGAAATGTAGTTGTAAAAATAATACATTAGCAACCTATAAAAATTCTTTAAAAAAGTTATTTAAAAAAATTAAGCTGGCGACAATAAACCGAATCTTTTTTTTAGACAAATAGTTGTACTGATTTTCTTTTATAATACGGTTTCTGTAGATGTAAAGACTTAAGAACTATCGATCGACCTTGGTCTGTGGCTACCCAAGCTTTTTTCCTCTTTATATGTACGGGTATGTTTATTTAAATAGTAGCTCTACCAGAAATATTTCTTTGTATTTTCCTTCAAAATATCCAAACAAAAGATAAAAATACATCCGCTTTTCCTTTAATCCATTCGAAATTTCCTACTTCGTGAAAGATGTCAGCGATGAATCTTTATTGCCATGTTGTTTGACTCGCGTGATTTGTACTGCTTCAAAGATTGTTTAAAATCAATTTTTTCACCGCGTATTGTATCACGTTAGGTATGTTTAGACATTTTTGCTTTACATCGTCTACCATTATATTTTATTATATTATTAACTTAGTCAAAGCTAAATGAAGTTACAATCTGGGATCAGGTTTCCTCTAATTGCTAAGAAACTTATGAAGCAGGGAAGGGGTGAGCATCGCACTGCTCCTGTGTGAATAGAGACTGAAACATTCTTTGTTTATTAAAATAAATTTAAGGTGAAAAACAGTTCAGCTGATAGCAATATATTATACTGCCTTTGCTTAAAGTTGGAACTTTATACAAAATCACCCACCGATTCGTGTCTATATCGCGGACAGAGAATCTATTAAACAAAGGCACTTACTGATATGTAGTCCTGAGTACTAGGATAAAACTATATATAACCTGCAATAATTAATTATATCGGCTCTTTTACACTTTCATTTATTTTGCGATACGACTGTAGGTGTAATATTCCTGAAGATATAAATACAAAAGAGTCCAAGTGGACTTCTAAGCTGAAAAGGAACCCCAATATTTTGTTAAAGCAAATAGAAACAAATTTGAGCAAAAAATATCTAATAATTATTATTTCGAACACTTGGACATCATCCGGCTATCATTATAATAATCAATACATCACAATCATCCATTCACAAGTATCTTTTCAAGTCTTCGAATATAGGCCTCCACTAGGGAATACTACAAAAAAAGACAGCCTTGAGCCACCTTCATCCATCGATTATAATTTTAGTTACATTTGAAGTACCGTGTAGTGGCGGTGTAAGAATATACACTACCCCGTACCGTGGGTGCTGTAACAGGCGACAGAGGGAAACAAATCTTGAGATGGGAAGCAGCGTCTTTCTAATTACTGTGGGGAGACCCATGTTCAGCACTGGACTTTAATAGGCTATATTGGTAACGGAAGTGATTTATTGTTGCAGAATATCAATATAGTGCCATGCTATGAGTATAAATTCATTCACCGCCGAAATGTCATGTGCATTGCACCTATCGATAACCGCGTGAGTTTCTATTGTTTAACTAAATATTTTTTTTGAAACTACCTACTATGTCTACTAAGTGCGACCACTGTAATAAATCTATTACAAAAAGTTCCCCAGAAGTGGAATGCAACAAATGTGAGCGTTTAGTATATATCAGAACAAAATGCACTGGATTAACCAACAAGCAGCTCAATGCTCTTAAAGCAGCAACTCCTGGATTGGGATGGACATGCCTGGAATGTCCAAATCTTCAATATTTGTAACAGAGGACTATGATGAAGAGGATGCTGAAAATCTAGCTCAACCCGACTCTGCGAAACTACTAAAGAACATCTCAAGGGAAGTAGAAAAAACCATAAGAAATGAAATGAGGCAAGTAAACGACGACTTACAGTTTCATAGCTCCAAACTTGATGAAGTAATGGGATGTATCGGAACTTTCAAACAAACAATCAAAAATTTATAAAAAAAGAACATTGAACTAAGTAACAAAAATAACAACAAATTCAAGCGCTGGAACAAGAAAAACTATCAAAGCAGATATAAGTTGAAAATGTACCCTAGCATAAAAATGAGAATGTGGAAAACCTAGTCAAAAGGCTATGAAGTTAAACTTACCCAAAACTGGTATCAAGAAATCGCTTAGGCAGCAAGAGAGAGGAGAGCAAGATGGTAGCTTACTAGTGAAACTTAAAGAGCAGAGTATGCAGGAAAAGTGGCTGGCAGCAGCAAAATCAACAGCAATTGACTGACCGTTGTAGATATTCATCCACAAGAACCAAACAATAATGTAATTGTGTATATCAGAGAAACTATGACTCGACTAAATAAACAAATACTATGGCTAGCGAAACAGGAATTAAAAACAAAGCTTAACTACAAATACGTCTGGTTTAAAAAAGGATCCGTAAAAGCACGTAAGGATGATATAAGTAAAATACTACACTAATATACTCTAAGAACTCTAAATGATGTGCACATATTAGCCAAACAGAATTAGTAATTTAATAACAAGGTATATATTATTTTTATTATTTATTTAAGAAGTACTATTTTTTTTGTTTTGAATGGAAACATTAAGTGATGAAATATTTGAATGCTTAAATTGTACAAATATCAACAATTTTCTTAAATTTCTACCCAAAAATCATGGTATTACCTTGTTATGAATGCATATCAACATACGGTCTATGACACTTTGCCTGTTTAGGGCAATTTATTATAACTTTCAATTAGTGTATAGATGTCATTGTGGTAACTGAGGTAAATATTACGGAGTCTATTAGTTGTCTTTTTCTAAATACAGGATACCAAATGTTAACTAGTCTGCGAAAAGCCCGAAGGGGTGGTGGTATTGTAATTTATGTAAATGATAAACATAATTTTAGCACCAAAAACATCAAAATAGAACACTTTGAAAGTATTATATGCACTATCATTTCCGACTCGGGCTATTCTGCGGATCTATGTGCCATGTCCCGTCCTCCAAAAAACAGTAAACACTTATTTCTTATTGAGCTTGAAAACACTTTACAAAAATACTGTCGTAATAAAGAGTTGTATGTAATAGGCGACATAAATATTGATCTGAATTCCGATAGTCCCGTAAAACATAAATATATTAACTTAATATACAGGCTTGTACGTGGGATTACTGCTAACACACGAATAGAAATATCGGGTGGTAAGTAAACCCGTAGCCTGATTTACGAAAGTGATTTTTTTAATATGACTGTGTTTGCTTGAGGGTCTAGATGAAGGGAAAAATTGCTAAAAAATCTCACAATATTTATTTTACATATTTATTTAGAAAAAAAACAGGTATCAATTTTGGTCAGGCATTAAGGCCATAAAGAAAACAGATATACCTATGCATGAAATAATGCTAAATATTGGTTGTTTTTATTATCGCATAACGACACTTTACACTTTTTACAGAACCAAGAGGTAAGTTTCCTACAATTATTAAATTTACACTTATTTCTAGAATCCATAAATATTTTTTCATGACCAATACAATCGCAACGCACGTCAGTAGAGGGTAGTACTTGTACACCTGTCCGGGGTCTTTTAGAAGGTACTGTGTTATCTAGTCGAATGTTGGTACTGGGTCTTTCCCTTTACTTTTCGAGTGACTTTGATATCTACATAAAGTATCGGCAAGCTCAGTTCTAAAATCTGCTAACTTCATAATATTCTACTGAAGTTTTCCTTTCACTGTGTTTACCTTTTTGTATAGTACCCAAGCATTGATGACAGTCATGTCTAACAAGTGCTAGAAGAGCCTCGTTGTCCACTTTTTGGACTTTATGCGGATGCGATATCGACCAATGAAGCTATCTATCAAATCAACGTCGCCCATGTGTGCATTATATTCTTTTGTGATCCGAGGACATGATTACTTGAACATTGGCCTTAGTTTTTTTTCGTAGCGGGTTATAGTATCCGCTGGTTTAGCGCCAACATACGTGGAAAGTAATAGTACTTGTTTGTTGTCTTTCCAACTTGTGGTCGACAATTCTTGGCCTTCCTTTTCTGTTCCTCTGGGGACGTTAGACTTCATAATTTCCCGTTTCGCCGGCAACTTGCACGAATTTCCAAGCCTGTTTCTCTGTACTGTTCCAAGACAATAAATACCTCCGTTGGTCAAGTAATGTAGCAGAGGAATATTCGTATAAAAATTGTCACAATAAGTTATATGATTAACGTGCCTTGGTACTGGTCGTAACAATCGAATAACTGTATTCGATACAGCTCCGAGGTCTGGTTCGCCAGGTAAACGGTCTATGTTCTTAGCTCCTGAGTAAATCTCAAAACTGTAGGCATACCCAGACATAGAGCATAAAACGTATAATTTGAATCCCCACTTATGGGGCTTTTCGGGTAAGTATTGTTTCATAAAATTTTTAATTTTAGTGGAACACATTTGCTCGTCTAGTGATAGACGATGCTCAAATGGTACATTAATAAATTTCTTGTTCAAATAGTCTGGTAGTATCTATCTGCAAATATTTAAGTCTCATCATGTGAAAATTTGTCTAATTTTATCAAATCTGTTGCGATTCATTGTTTGTGCTATGGGTTTAAACTTTATAATGCTTTAGCAGTATGACCTGACACTAGGATAATGATATACACTAGTAAAAATAAGAATTCCAATAAATTTACGTAATTCTAAGACAGATCCAGGTTCTGTAAAGTTAGGATTCTTTTGTAAGGCATATTTATTTGACTCGTCTACTAGAAATTTCAAAATTTCTTCACCGAAAAAATAAGAAAAAAAAACTGAAAAGGAGTGTCTAAGTTCATAATTTCTTGTGAATACTCAGTGTTTCCAGCAAAATGGAAAGCGTTTTGGACTATGTCTATATTCTTTACATATCATCTCCACACTGAGTTTCTAGAGTTGAAGGGTGCAGTTTGCAGGTTGTTCTGGCTGCTGGTTATAGGAGTTGGGCTTCGTTCAACAGTCTCTAAATTATGTTACATGTCAGTATCTACGTTTGCTGCAGGCGAATCTGCATCCGAGTCTGGGTCCGTGGAAAAATTACCTACATCTTCTTCATCTTCTAGCTCCATTAGACGATCTCTTTGGCTCGAATAAAAGGCTATGTCATCATCATTGTCGGTGGAATCGTCTTCCGAAATTTCACCATTTTCTAACCGCTTCAATATGCTCTCAATCTCTTCTGATCGCATTTTTGATACATTTCTATAATAAAATTAAAATAAAAGTAATCCCAACTTGGTGTTGCCATGCAGAAAAATAATGAAACGGAAGTTCAAAAAGTTTTTATAGCTAAAGAAAGAAAGTTTTTACAGCTAAAATTTTTATAGCTAGTAGGTAGGTTTTATGTAGGGCGAAATGCCTGGAGTATCAAAATTGATACTCACAAAATAGCACTAGTTTTTTTAGTTTTCAAGTTTTCAAATAAAACATGCACTCGCAAAAAATAATTATACGAGTATCTTAGCGAAAATAATATATTCTCTTACCGGAAAAGTATTTATATTCTTCAGAAAAAGAAAATATATCAAATTTGTATTCAACAAAACTTTTAGTAAAATTTGTTTACTTGTTCACTTTGCCACGCAAGTAATATGTCATAGATAAAATAAAACAATAATGATATTATTTTTTTTTAATTTTGTTGGAAAGAGTATTATACAACAGTAAAATACTTACAGCCAACCTATAAAAAAAACTAATAGTAATATGAACATTCGGTTTAAAAGATTCGTATCAAAATTGAAACTCTAGGTTATCAAGGGTTAAGTAAATCTTGCATCGATCATATAAATGCGAGATCCCACACACAAGACCTTTTCACAGCTGCTATCGGTACGACACTGGCGGATCACCGTTCACCGCGCGATAGTGTTTGCCTGTGTTGGGTCGCGTATACAGGACGTTTCTAAAATCAAGACTTGTATTAATAACAATGCCTTAATAAAATCATTAAGTGAAATCGAATGGCAAAAACGAATACCGTGACCTGTCCGATACAAATTTATAATTTTTATAAATGATAACTTTAAACAATGTTATAAAACCAGCTAATATAAATCAAAAATTAAAATAAAAGCTAAGCGAATAAGTAATGAATGGTTGAATAAAAAAACTTTAAAAGCATGTGAATACAGAGATAAATTATTTAATAAATGGACTAAGGAAAGCCAAAATAAGATCTTTAAACAAACCTACAACAAAGCAAGAAACTATGCAAATTCATTAATTTAATAAAGCAAAAATGAATGGCTAAAATTAGAAATAAATGATAATAAAAATAATCCACCATGTCTTTGGCAAATATTAAATAGATTAAGCGGCAGAATAAAACAGTCGATTGATAATTTATTACTGAAAGCCTTCAGCAATGGCAGGAATACAGCTAAAAACATCGCATACACATTTGCTACGACTTTTGATGAAAATTTGCAACAAATTATACCAAAATGTATAACAACTCTACTGGATAAGTCAATCTATCGTGAAAATGCCAATGTATCTATGAAGTATATACCTGCAGACACGCCTGCAGTGGAATATCATTAAATCTCTAAACCATAATAAAGCTCCTGGTATTGATGGTATACGAGCCACAGATATTAAAAAAATATGCTCAATGGTCAAATTAGCTATTACAAATCTTACAAATGCAAGTATTAGGAACGGCAAGTATTCCCTAGTACTAAAAACTGGCATTATTAGACCAATACATAAAAAGGGTAATAAGTCTGACTACGATAACTATAGGCCGATCACTATATTACCTACCATTAACAAAATAGCTGAGAAATATTTTAGTAGACAGATTTATAACTTCTATGATAAAAATAATATACTGACTAATAAACAGTTTGGCTTTAAACCTCATAAAAATACCACTCATCTCTTAAGGGCGTTCAAAAATAGCATCTACAAGCATCTAGATGAGAAAAAACGCATATTGGTAGTGTTTATAGACTACAGTAAGGCTTTCGATACACTTCGTCATGAGAAACTATTAGATAGTCTCAACGATAATGGTACCAGAGGACCACTGCTGACATGGTGTAAAGATCACCGATAGAAAACATGTGGTTAAGGTGGCTAATTCAATGAGCAACATAGTAAATGTATCCGTAGGAACTGCACAAGGCTCCGTAATAGGACTTTTACACTACATTACCTATGTAAATAGTCTGGCTAATAATATCAGGCGATGTGAAATTTACCAGTATGCTGTTGATACTTGCTTGGTTGCGGCTGGGAACAATATAAACGACAACTCTCAACCTCCTACAAGACGATTTTATTATACTTATGAAAGTAGTCACATGATAAACGATTAGTCTTAAATGCTGCGAAGACTAAGTTAATGTACATTAGCTCTAGTCAAAATAGGAGTAAGGTTGTACCAAGGCTCATTGCGCATGACCACCAATAACCTTCATAGACGACAGGTCCAAATGAAATGTAACGGTAGAAAAATACATAGACCTGGTAGAAACACAGACCTACTTAGGACTCGTGATAGATAGTCGCCTAAATTGTAAAGAGCATACTAAGCATGTGTGTGATAAACTTCGTGGTATGCTTGCAAAAATTTCTATAATTAAATATAAAATTCCTATAAATACTTATACACATATAACACATAATCAAAGTAGCAGTTAATCAGAATAATCATCACTAAAAAAAACTATACAAAGAATCATAAACCAAACATTGCAAAATATACCTATACACGAAAAGTATTTACCCTTCTTAAAAAGAATTTTTCCATGAAAGTTAAAAATTGCACATACATGTGATACTCTAAACTCCACTCAGAAAACCTAAACTATCTTACTAACAATAATTTATATAGTAAACGTACCTTAGAATATATGATTCCTAACCTAATTAATCAGCTACCAGTATCAGTAAAATCAGAACTAAATCAAAAAAATATTAAATTAAAATTAAAAAATTACTTTATGGAATGCATTACTACTAATTTAAATTATACATAATATGTTTTAATAATAAATACTACGATAACGCCCTAAAACAAGCGTCCTGTATAATATAGGAACCACGCGCAACGCATTATCTAACAGAAGGTCACGCAATTAACTAATAAATACTAAGTGTATTTTTTTTCATACTACACCCTCATATTTGTTATTGTCGGTGATACCAGTACATGGTAAAGTTTCTATAAACTTATGATTATACCGTAACGTAATGTGTAATTAATTAATGTAATAATATAAAAAAAAAAACAGAGAAACTTTCGCAATAGGGCCAGTAGAAGGTTCTAGCGCAGTTTGCAGTAAGGAAAAACTACTAGAACTCTCATTATGAACATAGAAGAAAAATAAGGACACAGCCGATATACATACGTACTACTGTGGGATTATTTATGGGTTAAAAAAAAGGTTAGGGTTATGTTACATTAACATAGGTTACATAAGAAACCTGACACTGACTATAATGATGAAATAAATAATGAAATAAGAAATCTAATGAATTGGCTAAAATATAATGATTTGACAATTAATATAAGTAAAACGAAGTATATACAATTTTACAACAAAAATGTTAAACCTCAGCAACTATCGGTATACCATGGTAACGATCCCACTGTCATGTTCGCATCAGCGACCTTTCTCGGTATTGTGATTGATTCCGAACTCACATGGCAGAATCACGTTGAAACTGTATGCCAGAGGATTAACAGGTTTGTTTCGCTCTGTATCGTCTGTCAAAATTAGCCAACCATAAGACAGCTCTGATGGCTTACCATAGATACGTTGGTGGGCAAAGCTACTCAGGCGTGAGTCAAACCAAGACGCAGAGAGCGCCATTGAGAATAGCGTCCCACCAAACAACCATCGCAAAGACGCAACGCTGCAGAACGCAACAAGCATCAATACGACTATCGTCGGGCTTACACCATCCCAAGGTCCCCCATACATCCTAGCTGACATCACCCCCCGCATACCTCCATCGACCAGAACCACAAGAGTGCGTCGAATCAGGCGCAGCACACCCGCAGATCCATCACAAGACGCACTACCGCAAGTAGCAGTAAGCATCAATGCAACTATCATACGGATGGCGCCCCCCTCACAACACACCCACATGACCCCTATCGATTTTGGTAACAAAGTTTTTATTGTTGTTATATAAAAAAATATCACCAACGTATCACAGTAGCACGCTACTAAAACGCCAATGAACAAAACTCCACGTATCATAGCGCTAATGCACTAAGACATGAAGTTGAGTATGCCTGTTACACTTAAAAGTGCTACCAAACACTACCAAATCTTCTCTGGTCCGTCTCCTGCTGGCGTTGACTTCGGGTACGGACACCCTCCGTTTCCTCCTTAGGTAAAATCGGCATGATTTAATCCCACTTTTGACACCAATTGTTACGAGCTTGAGGTTCGTGACAATAAAAATTGCCGATAGAATTACCTAAATTAACACTTTAATTCACTTTACAATAATTAAAGCTAAAAACACTAATAATTAATCACACTGATTCACTTTATTCCGCTCTGAAGCTTCGCTTGTCTCGCCGAATCCAATACTTCCTCGATCGCATCTTGCAGCGCCTATTTATATAAATTAGCAGCGAAATATCCAGAATATTCAAGTAAACACGCGCAAGGTACCGAGAGTTCGTGTTTCAATTTCAAGAAGTTTATTTCTTCGGTTCGAGACTAGATGGCGCTAGTGCCGTCGACTTGAGCGCGTAACAATACGAATGGGCCAGTACGACGGGGGGAAGTACCGCGCTCTTATAGAATACCAGTGTAAAATAGGATCTGATTACTGTTGTGTTCCGTGTGGTGAATTTAGAGAACCGGAGATTCTTTTTAGTGAAAACGAGGCATTCCATCTTAGTCCTTAGGTATCAACGCATCAACATTTTGATTTGTAATCGAGGATAGATGTAGCCGTCTATGTGTTACTGCATCTACTTACCATCAAGTGAACTGTGTGCTCATCTGTGCCCTTTTTGAGAAATGATAAAAATAAACATACAAATAGCACGTTTGACATAATGATGCTTTAAGATTTTTGTGCATCATGTTCCTATTATTCCTAATAAAAAAAATTATAGGAAAAGGGTGACAAGCGAGCACACAGTCCACCTGATGGTAAATGGTTGCTGTGGCCCATAGACATCTATCTGTCTATTTATCCTCGTTTGCGAATC